CTCAAGCACTGGCGGTTGCGGCCACTTAGGGAGTGAATCATTGGACGGAAGATCTTCCTCTCTATATTTTACTTTGCAATAAAAATAAATAAATCTTAAAAAAAAATGGATACCAAATGATTTTTAAATAAGGCAAGTGGAATTCAGTCATCCTGAAGTCTGTTAATACCATAGACAAAGAAACCATTTTCTGCATTTCTACATTGTCAATTGATTTCATTTTTCCATGAATTTCTTGAAATCCCCTTATATATATTAAGTTGTTGATTTCCTTTCTTCTGTTATGCTCATAATCAATCCTTGTTTTACTGCTTCCTCTTCATTCATTCTGGCAAAAGCACTGAAGTCATAATTACTTTGTGGGCAAATCTCTTACTTGTCCTTGAATGAAGATTTTTTTTTTCTCTCTTACCCTTACCAATTCCCTCTGGAGGATATCCAAGAACTCTATGGTTAGATTCTGAGTTAGTATCAAAAACTTTTTAAGCTTTTTTAAATGTCCATGCTTCTATGTTAACAACTAGCTTTAAAACACCTACACAGACTAAACATTTGGTGTGGAAGAAAGACAAGGTTTGGGATGCCCACATCCCATGTTGGAGTGAGTGTTTGAATTTAACACTGTGCACTTGACTCTGGGTTCCTGCTAATGTCCACGCTGGGAGGCAGCAGGTCGGGGCTCCAGCACTGGGATCCCTCCTGCCAGGCATATCTGTATTGGGTTGCTGGCTCCTGACTTGACCTAGCCCTGCCCTGGCTATTCAGGAAAGAACCAGCAGACAATCTGCTTATCTCTTTGCTTTTCAAATTTAGTAGATGCACACATACATAAGCTTTTAAACATTAATAATAGGTAAGAAGTAAACAAACAAACAAACAAAAAACTAATACAATTTTAGAGGCCTAAGAGGATGAAGGTCATCAGAATAGGGGAAATTTTGCAATTACTGTCTAAGCCTGTGAACTAGTCTCCTTAGTGAATGTTGATTGTTGGGGTAAGTACAAAGATGCTGAGATTGTGGGCATATTTTAACAGATTCCCTCAAACATATTCTAGTTCAGGCTTCTTAGCCTGAGACATACAAACAATAAAAACAAAAAGCAGCTCATGCAACTCTTCCCACATAACTAAATTTTCATATGAGTTTTTAAGTGCATGAATAAATATGAGAAATATAAATACAAACAACTGTATTACTAAGCACAAAAGATCTACAATGCACATAAACTAGTAAGTTTTATTGAAAAGGTACTAAGAATGGATGGCAGTGATGGGTATTCAATAGCGTGAGTATGTTTAGTGCAAATTGTAAATTATATCTATTTTGCTACAAAAGAGACAGCTTTTAAATAGGTTGATGTTGAGTTACATAATATAGCTTTCTCATGTAGGGCTCATATTATTAAGAATAATACAACATCACATCATACAACCCATGCTATAGCAATATCTAGTTATCTACCTGTGATTCCTTATTCAGGAGAACTTAAATACATTTAAAAATTCTGCACAAATAGCCTGGTACAATAACTCAGTGGCTAAATCCTTGCCTTGCATGCACTGGGATCCCACAGGGGTGCTGGTTTTTGTCCTGGATGCTCCAGTTCCCATCCAGCTCCCTGCTTGTGGCCTGGGAAAGAAGTAGAGAACAGCCTTGGGACCTTGCACCCAGGTGGGAGACCGTGAGAAGGCTCCTGGTTCCTAGCTTCGGATCAGTGCAGCACTGGCCTTTGCAGCCACTTGGGGAGTGAACAGTGCACAGATATTTCTCTGTCTCCTCTCTTTCCAATCAAATAAATAAAAACATTGCCTTTCCAGTAAAAATAAATATTTTAAAAATTTTATATATAAATCAGTATACAGCAATGATTTTTTTGCAATATTTGTTTCCTGAAGTGAACACTTATTATATATGCTATGAAGTTTAGCATCTCAGCTTCACGCACTAAATAAAATATTGTTCTATTTTGTTCTTCAATGTTGCATAGATTAGGAATATTTTAATGTTTAATAAATGTTAAGTATAGTAATTTTATAATAAAATGATACTTTTTTATAAATGTTTATAAATATCAAGATAATGAGCAAATCTGTTTAATATTATGCAAACATCTACATTATGAGCTTTTAAAAACCATTTAGCAATCATTTGAATAGATATGAATGTATGTGGGTTTTATTTATTTATTTATTTTTATTTTATTTTATTTTTGTATGTGGGTTTTAAATCAGAGTAAACAACTTCATGGCTAAACCAAATAGCTGCGAAATAAATAAAAAATTTTCCAATTTTTTCATCATTTATTTCAGAGAATGCAACAATTTATAATATTTAGGAATAAGCCTGCCTATCAGCTTCAATAGAGATGCTAACACTGTATGTCAGATATCAATAAAGAAACCCTCAAGATTGCTTTACTTTAAGTAAACAGCAAACTGATCTATTTATCTGTTCACAAATATTAGGTATCAGTTGATCGGTGAAAGTTTAAGAATCATTTAAAAATGTTTCCATGCAAATGAATAACATTTTAGACAATATTTTTTCATGTATTTTATTTAATAAGATCAAATGGGATCATAAAACGGAGCTCACAGCTGGAACAAGCGGATACTGTATCTGAGAAATTGCAATTGCCCTTGATTTTCAATTTACTCTAGCTACCACAAGGTGATAAATTTGACAAAAAGTCTTCTTAATGGTTTCTGTATCCGAAGAACTCGTTTTCCTTCTGTTAATGAGCGCACCAGCATCCACTCTTTTCCTGTCTAGTGGGCTGGGGCAGTTTTAGTAGCGAGACTTCTGTCTCCAGTGAAAATCAATGCTTCAAAACTCCATTACATAGTTCATGCCAGAATGAACAATTGCATTGTTAATCTAAATAACAAAAATTACATAAGTATATAAATACAAAATTATACTGTTTATAATAAAGAGTTTTTATGGATATTAGAACTCATCTAAAGTTGATGCTGGCCAAATCAAACTGAGATTATGTATTCTGACTCAAGCTATGGTCTGCCTAATATTACTTTACTCCTGCTTAAAGGTGAATTTATCTTTGCATGATTTTCTCTTGCATTCCGCCTAGTAACATATGAGCTTAGTCCATCATTTTTTATGAACTGTGTGCACCATCCACAACCTGACTCTCACTGATTTTTGTGTTCTGTTTTTCTATATTCCAAATTCTATTTTCTTTCTCTTTATCCCATTGTGTTTGTCTCCGGGAAGTTCTTAGAAGATGAAGGCATCTAAGAAATATGTTTTGTTCACAGTCCAGTTTCTTATCATATTATTCACTAAGGTAAATTTAGAAAGAAGTCCCATAATAATACCGCCTGATAAATATTCTGGATAATTTTTTCTTCATTAATTTTGAAGTATTTTTTTCTATTATCAGATGTTTTGATTTCCCTTGAACCTTTGCACCAGCACAGACATCAGGAAACAATTTCTAAGCTTCTTTTCACTACAATTCTTTTCCTCTATTATTTCCCACAGCGAAACAAAACTTTCTCATCAACTATACTAGCAAATATCTTCTTTATCAACACAATTTTGAAAAATAATCTGCATCTTCGGTGTGATTTCTCCATCATGTACTCGGTGTTAATATTTGACAGGCTGGCTTTTGGTTTTTCTGACCAAAAGATACATTCTTTGTCTGTGTATCTGTCTCTTCTCTCTCTCTCAAAAATTAGTTTTGAAAGCATGTTAAGGAAAAAACAAGAGTTTTTGACATTTTTTTCAAAACTTAAAGACTTGGTGGTTAATGTTTCTTCAAAACTGACTCCCCGTCTTAAAGCGATAATGGTCCAGGGTTGTTCTTATCATGCTTCTACTCCTGTTCAGGTCCTACAGAAAGGTGTATTTCTTTGCCTCATTCCCTAGCTGTGTGATAACTTCTGTCTCCTCTTGTCTTGATTCAGATTTGTCCAGGCAGGAAAGAAAGGCAGGTTTAGTTGGCAGATCAGTTCTAAGGTTCTTTATTTCCACTTTAGTTGATACATGAAGTTTATCATGAAGTAATCCATATATGATTTATATTTCAAAGTTTAACACATGCCTCTTTGGAGTACAAATTTGAAAACGTTTACTTCATCTGCATGGCAATGTTTTCAAACGTACATCATCGAAACTGATGTGCACATTTAATGTTTATAAATTTTAAAAGTCATTTATTATTACAGTACATCATTTTCTCAATTTTAAGGCAACATGATAAATAGCATAATTCACTTGAAGTATATTATTGTACGTTACATTAAAATTGACTTAGTAGCTGTCATTTGAGAGGGCCTTTGTGACATGGAATGACTACTTCTATTGCTGGTCAAACTGGCTCCTTAAGGAATACTTCGCATTAAATAAAAATCAGCATAAAAACAAACAACAACAACAACAAAAATATGGTCTAGCAGGAGAAATTCAGCTCACTCAAAAACTAGTAAATTTCCATATGTATGTTTCTACATGATCTGCCCTACCCATATAATATATTACTTTGAAAACGATAATGGTTTTATATTTAGGAATATGTTTATTATCACAGATTTGGCACAGAGAATCAATGATTGCAATGCTCAATTTTTTTAGATATCTCCTTTTGTCTACTATTAACAATGCAGGGTCTGTTATCTCACCATACATTGATAAGGTCTCAACTTGTGGACAATTGAACTCAATCTAAAAACTTGAAAAAAAAAAGCTATTTACCTTGATAACCCCAAATTTGACTTTCCAAACTTTCAAATCATGCAAAAAAAATTTATATATATATATATATTCTAAGGAGGTCTGCCTCTACACAAAATTCAGAGGGAAATGGTTCTGCAGCCGCAAGATAAGGGATACGATTTTTGTCTTCTTGCTTATTGTAACACATGCCAATTCTTTATTGCTGTTTTAGAATGGGCAACTTCTTATGCCAAGATTTAATTAATACTTCAATATTTGAAGGGCTAGTGATAATGTTGTCTCTAATAAAAAATTTACCTGTCTTGGGATCAATAGAGAAATAAGGTTGTCCCTGAAGGATGCTGTAAACGACTCTGGCACTGTTTCCATAGGTGGGGTCATCTGCATCGGTGGCCTTGACCTGGAGCACATATGCACCTGGAAAATAAGACAATATGACTCTAGCATTTTTTTTGTTTTTCAAGGTCATCATGTCTATTTCCCTTTGGCTTCCACTTCCTTTTGCAATTTGGATTTTTTCAGGGATGTCTTGAAATGAGGATAATTTACCGCTGGAAAATATTTGAAAATAATATAGCTATTGGGACACTTGACACAATTTAAATATCCATCTTATAATCTGGACTCATTTCCAGTAGCTAGATCATTAAAATGAAAGTTATCAAGATCTTTATGTATTTGTACACCAAAGAAAACATGGACACCACCTATATTAACTCATCTATTTGTTAGTCATGCTTTAATTCCATAATTATAATATTTAAAAGAGGCTAAAAAGTTGAGATTCACTGACCTTTAAAGGGTATTAAGTAATTTGCAATTGTAATTTACAAATCAACAACTATCTATTAACATTTGGAAGACTTTAACAGGAAAAGAAAATTAGAGAAATTGCATAACTATAAGTACTTGCAAATATAGCTGCAGAAGCACCTCTGAGTCTCGAGGCTGAATTAACCTAAGTGTTCACTGAAACAACGCCCACACCCAAGCTATCCACAGCTCTCTTCTTCAGACGCCGGGAATTACGTATTAACTTGATGTGATCCGTTCTCTCTCACATGCTCACAAATCCGTCTCTAAGGACTTGTAAATTTTCTCTTCCCAGTGTCATATTCAATGATAATATTTTCAGTTGAGTACAAACGAAAATCAAAAATACCAAAAACTGTCACAAATAAGCTAGTTTTGTTGCTAATGGTTAGAAATTTCTACTGAGCATAAAGGGATCCATTGTCTTTCCAAAGCTACTTTGGGAGCAAATGTTATTTGTGTCTTTTTCACTCACTGTAGCACACATTTGGGAGAAAAAAGTAACAAATGTTAATAGTTGACTACAAAATCTAAGAGCAGAAATTATCCCTTTAAACTACTCTTAAAAAATAGTGCTAGGCTGGTAACAAATTTGAAAGCAGCGAATCATAGTAGTTAACTACAAAAGCTAAGGAACAATCTCTTAGTGTACTTTTTTCTCTCTCTCTCTTTTCTTTCTTTCTCTTTCTTTCTTTCTTTCCTTCCTTCCTTCCTTCCTTCCTTCTTTCCTCCCTCCCTCCCTCCCTCACTCCTTTCTCTTGTTCGTTTGTTCGTTCATTAATAATGTTAGTGTGGTAACAACAGCAAGAAGCAGTAACTTTCTGTAAACAGGAACGCTTTGGTGAATTTTATTCGTAAAACCAGCTTTTTCCAGGAAAGGAAACTGTGGACAGCCCCCATACTCAAACACTGCTAGGAAATCAAGAGGAAGACTGATGCTACCACCAGCACCATCACCACAATGCTCACAATATAGTTAGTTACAATTTCATCAGTTTTTTTTTTGTTTAATTTTTCCAAAGAATTGAGTACTTCTACTAAGGATTTACAAAATGTACTTTTCCTTAACACCACAGAAACATCTGGTTTATCAAGATTAAATTTCCCTCTTTACAGAAATGAATTTTACCCCTTAAGTGATCTTCAATATCTCTTCATGTTATATATTTCTAAGGCAAACCTGCAAGCATACAGCACTGCCCCAAGTTCAGGTAGAGGCATTCCTATTATAAACTTATGAATTGTTTTATTTTATGGCTACAACTGGATCAATGTATCATATTTAGTAAAAAATAGAAAATACAAAAAAAAAACCAAATAAGCATTCTGTAGTAGGTTTGATAAATATTGCCAACCTATATCTTACCAATAAAGTGTGTGGCCAATAGGGGTGATCAAGCATGGTCCTTTTCAGAGGTTTGTTTTTACTGGGGATATGGACGTCAATGAACTTTTCTGAGTAAACATGCTTTTTTCAAAATTAATGTTAAATCTTTTGTTAACCATACAATAAAGAAGTTTGGATAATGAATTGAGAAATAGCCTTCATATCAGTCCAAATGATCACTGGACATCAAGAATTGTACTTATTGCATGTTTCTCCAATTTTTACCATAGTATTAACATAGCTGCTATTTTTTATATGGTGCAGGGTCATTCTGCTGAAAGGAAAGTTGAGATGTTTTGTTTGCTACCCTACTTTGCAACTTTTTCTACTTCATTATTTTTCAAATTGACAAATGCAAACTGCATATGCTTTCTATGTACCACATGCTATTTTTGAAATCTGGTGGTGAAACAGATGAATTGATCTAAACCACTTAGGATTTTTGTGGTGAGAATGCTTAACTCCACAGTCACTTTTCAGGAACACAATGTACTGTCATCAACTAGAGTTGCTAAGTTGAACACTAGATTTGCAGAACTTACCCTATTTACCCACTGAAATACTGCATCCTCTGAGCAACACCTCACCCCTGCATACCCACCCTGCTCTGCTTTCATGAGGATTTATAAAGAAGGGTTATTCCAAGCAGAGGCAGCTACACATATGAGAAGATCACAAGTCAAGGGCATGTCAAAAGAAACATCAGGGAAATTAGGGCATTCTTTACCATAGGTCAAAAATGAAACAGAAGTGGTTAAGAAAATGCTCAGGTGCAATGTGCTAACCCCTAACATAAAGACGTATCTATTTCACAGTGCCACCATTCTCTCTAATAACTTATATCCCTGCTTTTTAGTTACATGGAGACAGGATTATTCCAACCTTTCTTTTTTTTTCTAAATTGAATTTTTATTCATTTTGCTTGATTGACTGAAGTAGAGAGAGAAAGAGAAAGATCTGCCATTCCTTGAATCATCTCCCAAAGGGCCACAACAGGAGCCAGGTCTCTGCCAGGAAAATGCCAAGAGCCTGAACCTCAAACCAGGCTTCCCATAGGTTTGTAGGAACTCAAATACTTGGATCAGTACTGTATATATCCTAAAAGCAAGTCAGCAGAATGTGAACTCAGAGCCAGGACTTAAACCTGAACACCCCAGGGTGAGAGGTGGGCAACCCACACAGCGTGTCAGCAGCAGTTGCGAATGTCCATGCATATTACTACCATTTAAAATGAACTTTAGTCATCAGATAGCATGCTTAACATCCATGTTATAAAACACATAAACATTCTATTATTTTAACTGATGTGCAAATTTTCATAGTTCAGATGCCTGGAAAAAACTACACATGACGCTGTCACATTAACTTCAAAAGATTGACTAAAATTTCATTTCTGAAACAGGATTTGATTTCCAGCATTTTCATCAACTGTTCTTGTTCTTATTTGCACTTGTTACACCATGTGTGAAGACAAGCATCTGTACACTTCATTTATCTTATCTTTTGTGTGTATGCACTCATGATTGCAGAATACACTAAAATTCCTGATACATCATTTCATCCACATGTGTCTATTGATGTAATCTATTCATACATCTACACAAAGTATAATTATTAGTTTTAATCATGTTTACTTTGAGTTTTACATTTTGAATAATCTTTTGCATGTGTACAGGAGGAATCAAAATATTTATAAAAGTGAAATTTTTTTAAATTGGTATTTTTGGTGCAAAAAATTTTGAAGTCTATGCACATGATTGGTCTAATTTTGTAATATAGATATTATGAAAATACGCAACGATTTCAAAAATTTGACATGAAAATAAACTTTAAATTTCATTTTCCACAAATGTTTAAAGTACCCTTGCATGTTTGTCATGTGCTAATCTTACTTTATTTAGTTTAAGATTGATAATGTGATGCCGTGACAGATATTTTAGAAGTAATCTGTCACATAGAAATGATAGTTATTTCTCTTCAAACAAAAATCATTGTCTTACAAGATGTAGCAATCAGCCCTACTAATCCATAATTCTAGGTAGCTATTTGTTGATTTATTCATAGCTTCTTTCCGTGATTCAATATTTAATAATACCCACTAGGTATGGCGAATTACTCTCACATATATCAAGAACAACAACCCCCTCCCCCCAACACACAAACTTTCCAAAAAAAAAGAATACACACAGAACACGAATTCAAGCACTAAGCATTTGGCGAGATAAATTACACATAAGCATTTACTCTTCGAGATGTACAAATACTGCATGCACTGTATGTATCTTTGCAGCTTTCTACTTGCTGCAACTTCCTCAGTAGCTGTAAGCTATTCGCTCCTCACAACTGCAGGCTTAAACTGAATCCCAACTGCTTTCTCCTCCGAATTCCTCACAAACCAGCATTAGAGGCACTGATTCACACAAGAGATTGCTTATAATATTCTCCTTGATCAAAACGAAATAGGTAAAATGGGGCATGACACGGTAGCCTTGCAGCTAAAGTCCTCGTCTTGCCTTAGTGGGATTCCATCTGGGCACCGGTTTGTGTCCCGGCAGCTCTACTTTCCATCCAGCTCCCCGCCTGTAGCCTGAGAAAGCAGCCGAGGATGGCCCAAGGCCCTGGGAACCTGTGTTTGAGTGGGAGACCTGCAAAAGGCTTGGGGTCTCTGGCTTTGCATAGGCTCTGTTCCAGCCCTTTCAGTCTCTTGGGTAGTGAATTCTCGTACGGAAGATCTTCCTCTGACTCTCCTCTCAGTATATCTGACTTCCCAATAATAAATAAATAAATAAATAAATCTTTTTTTTAGAAATAGGTAAAAATAAAACAGAGCAAAGCATGCAAGCTGTCATATGACTTTATCCCTAATTAAAAACATTTTCTGAACGGATTGGCATGCTAGAGATAATGCAACATGAACAGGTTTCAAATGTTCCTTTCGGATTAGATTCCAACTGTGCTGCCAGAGAACCTGTGCCATGAGGGTTCACACTTGTTCCTTGCTCATGATTAGGCTCTGACTTGCATCTGTGTTCTTACCCAGGTGGTCCTGCTACCTGGCGGAAATTGGCCTCACCATTAATGCCCCAGCTCTACTTCACTTCTATGAACTCGCGCTTTTTTTATCTCACACAGAGGATGGTATTTTTATTCCCTTTGTCTGCAGTCCTATCAAACTAAAGACATTTCAATTAGAAAAAAAAAAAAACTCAACATAACA